TCATATACGTGAAAATACTTGATTGTAAATAACGAGGCAGCACAACGAAACGAAGGGAACAATTAAGAAATAAATTCCCCCATGCACGACGAGATGAAAGAAGGAAGTGGCCCACCGCGCGACGTGTATACTCACGGCAGTTTTGCTCGTCTGAACTGTCTAAACAATCCTCCACGTTATTGCAGCGGGCGCTGCTGTCGATACACTGACCGTTTCTGCATTTGAATTGCGAGGCGGTGCAAGCTGCCAACAGAGAAAACAAGAAATTTCGGTGTGAAAAAAATGCTATATATATAACAAATTCCTACTCGAACTGAGAGCTCGTTGAAATGGTAAAAAACAAACGACGAGGAACCGAATATTTCGAACGTTTGTTACGTGATCAGATTACGCGGAAATTCACGTGCAAAAATGGCGATTTATCAAACCAGATTTACAACCTAATTTTGGATGTATGAATGTATTTTCGAGTTTCAATGGGGAAAAACGAAGGGGTGTAAGATTAGAGTGATCCTGGTATTTAGTATTTATACCTAATTAATTTAGTATACTTTTTCAGTATATTATTTGCTGAATAAAATTCAATAAATCGTGTGGTCAAAATTCTTTCCGTTCTTTGTCTCTGACTTACAAAGAGAATCGGTATCAATAGAACTCGAATTTCCTCGCTTTTATATGAATAGACGAAATACGAAGGATCCAATAATGTCACTCGAATGCCGTTTAATATAAACTCGTACGGGTACCAAAAGAAAAATCGGATTTCAAAGACTGGATCCTCCATGGTATTCTATTACTTCTGAACATCTCGATAGTTGTTTAATAAAACAATAAATATACTATCCTAATAATTGTTCCAACATCTTCCAAATAACACTTCTACTGTACTTTCCTTTTTTAAATAGATATTTATGAAAATTCTTTCCTTAGCCTCTTGATTTCCTTAGCGCTTTTATATCAAGTTCAATGAACCAAACACGCAAATCGTAGATATCAGTAATTATACCTAAAGTTTCTATTCTGTTCGACTAAATCACCGTTTATTCATTATTATCCTGCAAAAGATCACACCATTACAACTATGCTTAAAAAAAATTCACATTCAGCGAACAATTTTCAACTAACCAAGGATGAAAGAAAAAAAGACTCTAGCTTAACTTATCGTCGATGTATAAATAAAAAAAAAAGCACGAGAAATTTTATCTCCTGAGGCAAAAACTAATTCAACAGCGAAAGGGACAGAGAAACCAGGGGAAATAATGTACGCGTCAATTAAATGTTTTTTCCACAGAACTGTCCGTCCTGTGATTTACTATAGGCGCACAGCTACTCTGCGGGGCTGTCAAAAGTGCTGGTGTGTATTACGTTTCAGATAAACACAGAGCATAGCTGGTTACACTCTAGTTTCAAACCGACAGACCAGAACTGCAACTACCCACTTGCATGTGATACGAGAGTACGTC